ACTGAACGCTGAGAGCCAGGGACTCTTGAACGGCCAACTCATCGGACCGTCCTGAAAGCAGCTGACTATCTCTGGGAGTGAGGAGGTTCCGAGCTACTATTGTAGCTGTTGTGGCGTCCTGCATCACGGAGTCTTCACCTGTAAGAGGACCGTTAGAAGATAAGAAAGAAGGGCGCCATACGTTACCTTGACGCGGCACGCCCGTATCACTGCGGAGACTCAATTCTAAGCTAAGGTTCGATGGGTTTGCCATTTTTCAAAAGTGTTCAAAGAGAAGGGGTGGACGGAGTAAATTTTCAAAAGGGCCGGAGACGAGTATCAAGAATGGGAAATCTTCAGAGTGTGTAAGTTGGCAGTGATCGATAGCTCTATAAAAAGCCAAGGCAACGCGTCCATCGATTCAAAAAGCCGGAATTTGAGGCGTAAAGTTCGGTGACGCTCCCTCGGCTTTTTCAGAAAACGCGTTCGACACGTGGAGGCCACCATCACAACTACACGTCTTTAGCCGACAAGCGCAAAGTTCGGCGACGCTTTCTCTGCTTTTCAGAAAGCGCCTGCTCAGAAATCGAAGAGGCGTCTTCAAAGATCGAAGAGTCGTCACTATTTCAAAAAGCTGGATTTGCGGGATCAAAACGTTTGTCGACAAGGGTAAAAGAACAGTACCACCACTTGCTATTGGGAAATCCCTATATTTGTCGACTTTCATCTTTTATGGCAAGGCAAACCTGAAGAAAATGCCCGACTCTTCCTCACCTCTGAGGGCGCACTCCCAGCAAAGCCTTTCGAAACACTCAATTCTTTCTTCTTCCCCAAAGATGATACCAGATGCCTGGAGTACAGATGACCCAGGAGGAAGCAACACAACAAATACATGTGCTGATTCATTCACCGCTTCTTCAAAAGCAAAGGTATCTCATATCATCAAGGTCAAAAGCAAAGGTATCTCATATCATGCTCTTTCCCTGTCTTTTCCTTTGTCTTTGTTATTACTTGCATGGCAAAGTGAAAGAAGCAATCAGCCGGCACTTGGAGTCTATCTAGACTCTATTCCCTGGTTGCTTACCTAGCTTTGCTAAGCTATCCTCTAACCCTCTTCAATACGAATTGGAGAGATTGAACAAAGAAACAGATAAGAGGAGGAAGCTCAGACCTTCGGGGGAGACCAAAAGAAGCCTGCTGCCCAGTTCAAGAGTAGCACAAAGGAAAATCAACGATGGAGCAGCGCAGTTCAAGAGTAAGCCTGTGGAATCACAAAGATCCAAGCCTCAATGCAATTACCAAGGAGAAGATGGAATTTACACTCTATAACCAGATTTGCGTCTCTAAACTCTTCTCTTTGTTAGATACATTCTGCTATGTTTAGTATGTTTAGTTGCTGTTTATGTGTTTACGTTCGTTTGGTGTGCTTTTAAGCTTAAAACATTGAGGACAATGTTTGATTTAAGTGTGGGAGGGTAACTAAGTATATTTGATGCAAATTCGTTGGATTTTATCACCTATCACTTCACATGTTGTTTCACACGTTGTATGATTGCTAGTAACTAAATTCCGTTTGCTAGGATGAGGCCATGAGCCTTAGTAAGAATATGTAGTTTATTTTCAATTTGCTTATGATTATGCATGCAGGTTTGAATTATTAATCACCAGTTTAAATTATCTACTTATCTTAATGCTTAGGATATTTAGAAAAGTAATTTGATGCAATTTTGGTCGGAGGTAGCTCTCTGAAATTAACGAAGGCTTATTGTGATTAATATGTGCAAGTTCACCTAGGATGAATACCACATCTTAAGGGTTGTATGGTTTTTCAAAAGGTTTCACAAAGCTTAATTAGTCATGCATGTTTAGATTTGATCTGAATACCACATACAAATTGTATGATTGATATAAGCTCTATGTTGGGGGTTCAAGTAGGCATATATTAGGAAACCTAACCTTCAAAATATGCATATGTAATTCATAAGTAATTGGAAGAACTATATAGAATTGTTAAGGTAACAGTGGAACCCTAGGCTTTTACAATTTAATTTTCATTAACCGTTTTCTCTTAGCTTATTTTATTTTGTCACTTTATTTAATTATTTTCTATTAAATTCGTTTTTATTATTTTAAATTACAAAATCAACTTTTTCTCAAACTTTGTTTTAAGTAATTAATTAAGATTTGATTTGATACAAATTATTCATTCAATTCCTATAGAGAACGATCTTGCTAAAGTCATTTATACTACAATTACCTTGTACTCTTGCAAGCATTTAAAGTGTTTCTATGGTGGTAAAAATATCTATTATTAATGTTATCTTTATGAGTGACATGTCATGTCACCAGTTAGCAATCACCACGATGATAATTCAGTGTTGCTCCAAAGTATTAATATATTTTGAAATTTTGAACCGTTAAATCCAAGTTATTTTATATCTTTAATTAAGAATCAACGTTATCTAACTGTTAAAAATCCTGGAGCATAAGATAACCGGATCATCCGTCACCACAATTTGTTTTTCAAAAAATAGCATTATCCACAGTGAAGATATTCTACGCTAAATAGTAAAAATAAAGCTTTTTTTTTAACGTTAATAACTAACATAACTGTCACAGCTTCAGTCACAGAGCAGCCAGCAACAATGGTGGCTCCTCTTTCCCTCCACCACATTAGACGGCCTTTCAATTCCGACATCCCACTCTTATACACCAAATCCACCACAGCCACAGCCATCGCCGCCACGACCGTCACCAAAAACCCAATTGAACCACACCCTTGTCTCGCATTAGTAGACAAAAGCTCCGCCGTGTCCGAGCTCAAGCAAATTCACGCTCAACTCCTCTGAGCCGGGCTCTTTTTCAACGCCTTCACCGCCGCCAAAGTTGTCACCTTTTGGGCTCTGGAAGGCTCCGGAAGCCTCCGTTATGCCCGTTGAGTCCTAACCCAAATTCCCATTCCCACCACTTGTAACTCGGTTATCCGTGGCCGAAGATTTTCAACGGGACGCCATTTTTTTCTACCAAGAAATGATTTTGGAAGGTTGGGTGCCTGACAGGTCCACATTCCCTTCTCTGTTCAAGTCGTGCGGGGATTTGCAGGAGGGAAAACAGTTGGCATTTACGCTCGACGAAGCTCGGTTTCGCTTCGGATTCATACATTCAGAACACTTTGATGAACATGTATGTGAATTGCGGGTGTTTTGTCTCCGCTCAGAAGGTGTTCGACAAAATGACTGAGAAGAGTGTGGATTCTTGGGCAACCATGATTGACGCGTATGCTAAATGGGATCGACCAGTTGAAGCTTTGAAATTGTTTGGTAGGATGGAATGTGAAAATGTGGATCTTAATGAGGTCACTATGGTTAATGTTTTGACTGTGTGTGCAAGGGCGAGGGATTTAGACATGGCAAAAAGGGAGCACCGGTACATTGATTAGTATGGTTTCGGGAACCGTTTGAAGCTAGTACGACTCTCTTGGATGTTTACTGTAAGTATTGATGTGTATAGCTTGCTCGAGATTTGTTTGACAAGATGCCGGAGAAGAACTTGTTCAGTTGGAACATCATGATCAATGGGCATGTTGAGGATAATAACTACTATGAAGCGTTTGTACTCTTTCATAAAATGCAGCTCAAAGAAGAAAACGGGGACGAGGTAATGATGGTAAGTTTATTGCTTGCTTGCAGCCATTTGGGTGCTCTAGAGCTCGGTAAGTGGTTGCATGTATATATTGAAAAGGAGAACATTAAGGTGGACATTGCCCTCGGGACGACTTTAGTTGACATGTATGCAAAATGTTGGAGCATAGACAATGCATGGGAAATTTTCCGAAAGCTACCCAAGAAGGATGTTATGACTTGGACAGCTTTGATTTCGGTTTTGGCATTGTGCGGACAAGGGAAGAAGGCTTTGGAGCATTTCCATGAGATGCAGAAGAGTGGGTTGAAACCAGATGCGATAACCTTTGTTGGGGTATTGGCTGCTTGTAGTCATGCTGGATTAGTAGACTAAGGGATTTCGCATTTTAACTCAATGTCTGAAGTGTACGGCATTCAGCCTACCATTGAACACTATGGTGGTATGGTTGACATCTCAGGGGAAGCTGATCGAATTGCCGAAGCAGAAGAGTTGACTCGGAGGATGCAAATTCCACTGGACCGTTCTGTTTTGGGAGGGCTTCTTGGTTCCTGCAAAGTCCATGGCAAACTTGAGGCTGCAGAAAGAGTTGCTCAACAGCTTTTAGAACTTGACCCGAACGATGATGGAGCGTTTGTTCTTCTATGAAACTTACATAGCTCTATGAAAAAGTGGGACGAGGCGAAAAGAATTAGAGCACTCATGGCGGAAAGAATTGTAAAGAAAGCTCCAGGTTGCTGTCTGATTGAGGTTGACGGTATTGTCCATGAATTTGTGAAGGGTGATTCATCTCACCCGCAATCTACAAACATCTGTGACTTGCTGGAAGACATGATCATCCAGTTGAAGAAAGATGGTTATGTTCCTGAGAAATCCGAGGTGGTGTTGGATATACATGAAGAAGAGGAGACCGCAGTCAGCCTCCACAGCGAAAAGCTGGCAATCGCATTTGGGCTCATAAGCACAAAACCGAGGACAACAATACGAGTAGTAAAAAACCTGAGAGTATGCAGTGATTGCCACAATGCAACCAAGCTCCTCTCAAAAGTTTACGATAGAGAAATAATCGAGCGGGACAGAAACTGCAGTCATCGGCTTAGGAATGGATCTTGTTCTTGTAATGATTTCTGGTGACGAAGATTCGAATATATTAAGAAACTTCAATATTCTTGTTCACTCAAACGTACGAAATCACAAAGCTTTGGCGTCTATTTTAATCAAAGCATGATTCTCCACAAACAGCGGATCTATAAACTATTAGTAAGACAACTTCATAGAGTGGATGTGTCGTAGACATGATACCATTGTCTGTGCATACACGTTCTCAAGCATCTTCACAAAAGAAAGAAAAATTGCAGATCGAAAACGAAGATTGTCTCGTGTAAATCGAAAATGAAGATTTGACACGTTAACTTTACCAAGCAAACAAAATTCATTGTCAACAGAAACGAATTAGACACGACATAATTCCGAGGTAAAAACTATGGCATTGTCAGAGTCTAATAACATAATTATTAATTGTCGAGATCAAATACAGAAATTTCCTAATTTACTAATGCCAAAATTAAAATTTCAAACATGCACTGCAGCTTCACCAGCAGCTACAAAATGCCAAAGTATGAACGGAATTCTCATTTAGAAGCAAGTTTACCGGAGGCTGCCTTCCCTTGATTTTCTTTGGAAAATTCATCACCCATCATCCTCACTGAGAGGCTGTTTAGACACTGTCGTTTCCCGCTGTGACGGAGTGCTGCTTACTCCAGTTACAGACTGCTGATAAAGAACACCCCCTACGATTGTTAAGAGGAGGCAGAGCAAACCGAATGGACTGGCATGCTTATCCCAAATTAGCACATTGATGGCAACTGTAAGAAACTTATTCACAACACCAGTCACTGTGAATGCGGTAGCAGAGATTGCCTTCCTTGCTGCAAACCCAAAGAAACTGATGAGCAATCCAAACACACACGACAATGAGACCGCAAAAAGTGCACCAGGTTCAAAGAAATTCGCAGCATTCGATCCCAAAGCAGCAAACACATCAGAATACTCTCCAGTAATAATCCAAAACGGTGGAGCCATCATTAGTGACAAAAGATTGTTGTACAACACAAAACCCCAAGTGTTCAACCCGAGATTCGTGACCATATGCTTAATGTAAACCATCTCAGTTGTAATGGTCACCAAATAGGCAAACGCCCAAGAATAAGCAGTCAAAGTAAAACCCGAATCAGTGGCCACATAACCAACAGCTCCACCCAAAATGATCAACAACGATACAAAGGTAAGCTTAGATGGGATTGGCTGCTTCCTAAAAGCAGTATCCGCCAGCGCAACCAAAAGGGGCGTGCATGATCTAAACACTATAAACGTATCCACATTCGCATGGCGAAGAAGATTGGTGTTGGTAAAGATAGCAAGGTAAAACACAAGTGCAGCGGGCAAAAACTTCTTGGCCGTCTGCCATGTGAAGGGATCGTGGTGCAAAAATCCAGACTTTCCCAAACCCCAAACTCCCAAAGCAGATGTAAGGTACTGCAATGCAGTCAAAAGGCCAGGGTAGTTGAATTTGGTAATGGCAAACTTGTTTATCACAGCTAACAAGCTAGAACAGAGAGCATACCCAATCACCAGACTGCTCGTAGCGAAATACGGCTTAGCGGAATCGACTCTAATCGCAGACATTGTCACAAACTAAAATACCCAATTCGAATTCAGAGCAAAAAAATAAGCAGATTTCAAAATTTCAAGAGCTATATGTACAGTGAAAGGCTACACTAACAGAGGCAAGTGAATGAAATCGAAAAGGTGAGCACTTCATAGAGAAATCTGAGATATGGGTTTTGAAGATTATGCCGATCTTCTATTTGCGTTTGAAATTAATGCATTAAACGTCAACTGAATCGATTAAAATGTAGAGTTATGGAAGAGTTGTACATCACCGACATGTAGAAAAGCTCGGATCTTTGAAACGAAACGAAGAGGAGGAAGGGGTTGCGGCGGAGGCCGAGATCTAGGAGGGAGATCCGGCGAGCTCAGAGGAGCGAAGTGAAATTTCTACGGCGTTGCAGTGCAGAGAGAATGGTGATGTGGAGGAATAGCATTGAAATTTCTACGGCGTTGAGATTTGATTCATGCGGGGGCAGGGAGAACGCGGCGTTTTGAAGACTTTTTGGCTATTTAATTGGGTAAGATTTATTTAAAGTCTGCTCTGATTTGTTGAAAATCTCTGCAGATTTTGAGTAATTTTATTGATTAGTGATGTAATTGTGAAGAGAATTGTTATTAACACTCTAAAAATCTTATTCTACGTTTCAAATTTTCTATATTAAGAAAGAAAGATACACTTTACAAGAAGTGTAAAACGAAAATTTTAAAATACTAATAACACTTCCCATTGTGAATATAATATCCCACCAAAAATTGACAAAATGAAAAGAAAAACAAAACATGTCGTCAGATAAAATTTTCTCTCTTTGTTTTACCGATTAAAATAATTTTTTATTTTTTATGTATTGGAAAATAATTACAACAAAAATGATAAAGAATAAGGAAAAAAAGGAGGTTTGGATTCCACCATGAGAGGTGATGCAAAGAGAACGTGAGGCCACGCCCTAATTTATTAAATTAAATGTTTAGCCAAGATGCCCATGTTCCATGTTCTTCTCATTTTTTTGGTCAATGCATTCAGTATTTCTTATTAAGCTAAAATAAGTCTGGAGAGAAAATATATATTTGAGCTAGATTTTTCTCAGGATTTAAGTTTGGGTTAAATTATTTTAAACTTATCAAATTGTCATATTTCAAATGTTTTTTTATTTTTTACTTATAATCTAACGGTTACGATCAAATGAGATCAAATCTAATAGTAAAAAAAAAAATTTGATGGCACAAAATTAAATCTAACGTCTAAAATAATAAATTTAATTTCAAACTTTATATTTAAACATTTTTATATTAAAATGTTCATAAATAAATTAGGATAATCTACATAAATTTTATTTTAAAAAAAGTTACAAAAAAAAAAAAAAAAGCTAAAATCATTATTTAATAATCTTGGACTAAAATTTTAAACCATGAAGGTTGGAGGAGAAAAACAGTTTATAAGTTATGGCTTAAAATTTTCTGATTTATATTTTTAAGCTTTATCCTCAAAGGTTGAATATGATCTTAATGCACCCATCAAATTGTGTACTTACATAATGGTTTTTCGGGTACAAACATTTATCACGTGCCACGCTTAGATGATCCATGTGAATGTGCATTTGTCTAATTAGATGATGTAGTGGACCTTTGAAGTAGAGAAAGGACTTGCCCACATCGAGTTTTCCAATGCGGGAAACAACCATTTGTTTTCAAAGCCTTTGGATGCTTTGGGAGAGGTTCGGGAAGGTGAAGGTTCATGGGTTTGTGGTAAAAACTGGAATTGGGTTTGATGCGTATGTGTTAACTTGCTCATTGACATGGTTGAGAGTTTCAAGCAGGTGTTTGATGAAATGCCTGAGAGAAACAGGCTTTGTTGGAACGTTACAATCTCGAGGTATCTTAGGTGCTGGAGGTTTGAGGAGGCTTTGGATGTGTTTCGGGGGATGCGATGTGAGAGCAACGAGAAGCCTGATGAAGCTACGGTTGTAAGCACCATTTCAGCTTGCACAGCGTTGAAAAATTTGGAGCTTGGTAAAAAAATTCATGAATATTTTAGAAGTGAACTTGGATTTACTATTAGAACTGGAAATGCATAAATGCGGTTGTTTGAATGGACGGAGAATTTTTTATGAAATGCCGGTAAAAACGTGTTCTGTTGTACTAGTATGGTATCTGGCTCTGTAAATTGTGTAGGTTTGGTGGGGCAAGAGAAGTGTTTGATGGGTATGTATGTACAATAAAATTATACTACCATTTTAACGGGGCGGGGCTCTATTCCAAGAGATGCAAACTAAAATGTTGAAGGGGATAAATTTTCAGCGGTTGCTCTTAACAGGCTGTGCTCGGTTGGCAGCATTAGGGCAAGGGGAATGGATTCACAGGTATATCGAATATAACAGCACTAAAACTGATGCAGTTGTTGGTACTGCAGTTATAGAAATGTATGCGAAATGTGGGAGCATAGACAGGTCTTTGGACTTCAAACATTTGTGGGCTTGCAATGAATGGCAAGACAAGCAAAGCAATCGAGTTCTTCTCGAAAATGGTACAGATTGGCATGAAGCCTGATGATTTCACCTTCATTGTTGTCTTAAGTGCTTGCGTTCACAGAGGGTTGGTAGATGAGGGTCGTGAGTTCTTCAACTCCATGAGAAAGATATATGAGAGATTGCGCCGAAGTTAGAGCACTATGGTTGCCAGATCGACCTTCTTGGCTATGCTGGACTGTTAGACGAAGCAGAGGAGTTGATAGAAAGGATTCCAAGTGAGATTATAGTCCTGATTTCTATATTTTTGCATCCATCATCTGTAACTGCACATTTCATTTGGGTCCATCTGTAGTACTCGTCATTGATTAGTGGGATATACGATGAGTAATACAAAGGGTAATTTGCGTGTGAAAAATGATTTATTTACAAACATGAATCAGCATACTAACAATTGTTACCATTGGAAATCGATTTAATATTATTTCTACACAATAATTATAAGATATAGGCAGCAGCATGCACTAGGAAATAATTTAGCGAGCATTAATATGAAACTTTGTTGGGAATCTACTTACAAATTTATTTGTCAACACATCTGTTATAGCTTCGGGGTCCCAGAGTCTACTCCATCTTTCAGGTTGAGTGGGGGATTTTTCAGAAATGATTATCTTGCACGTATCTCGAATCAAATCATGCATCATTAGCATGCCTCGTTCAACAGTTACAAGGCACCGTTCACAGAGAACACTGATTCTTATTATTGGAGATAAGCCGCATCCATCTAATACTTTTGTGACATAATCCTTCTCCACATCAACCTGGCCGATTTCAAAAAAGAAACGTATATCAACGAATATAGTCTTTTGAGTATCATCTAACCCATCAAAACTTATTCTAAGTTTTTCTATAATTTGTCCTTCAGGTACAAGTACCCTTATACGTTAGAGGTGTTGTCTTATGACAGTGATCCCTGCAGCAACGCAACTAATAATTTGAAGCTTGGCATGTTGTAAGATGTCAGAAATAAATTTTTGTTGCAAACAGAGCAGACCATGTTGGCTTGTACCATGGTGGCAAACATCTTCAAGGAAGCATTTGAATTGGAAGCTATGATGAATTTTGCTATAAATGGCTTTGGCAACGGTTGTTTTCCCCAATCCACCCATCCCCCAAATTCCAACCATTTTAAAATCATCTGGTCCACCACTTGAAAGATCACTTATAATTGGTTGAATACGAGAGTCGATTCCAACCGGGTATTTGGCCACGTGTAATTCATCTGTGCTGGGAAGCAATTCCCTAATATTCTCTTCAACAATTCTCCTAATAAGCTTTGTTTCATGCCTGAAAACTTAGTTAGTCAGCATTAACTCAATGAAGGATTACTAGAAGCTATCACTTCGCTCAATTAGTAAACGTGAACGACATGGAGGGTGATAATATTGCCTGACTTCTTAGACTTTCAATAAAGGTGAGATTATGGTTTAGGATTTGTGAAAACAATAGAACCAGAGAAGATTTGGAAGAAAGACACTGTAGTCTGTTGTGTTGGATTTGTGGCTCCATTTCGATTGGGCCTTCAATTACTTGAATTGGTCCATCTGTTTGGTTCCTTTCGTTTGCTCCATCTGTTTGGTTCCTTTCGTTTGCACCATGTATTTAAAATGAAAGACCATGATTATCTCTTAAAAAGGAGTTCACAACTTCTAAAATATCTTAAAAAATGAGTTCTACTACCATAAGTGCTTCTTTATGGGATGCCCACGAATTTGATCAAATCAAAATATACTGTGAATAACTCATGTTATGCTCTTAAGAATCAATTAAAAGAGATCTTCTAATTCCAATTACAAATTCGCTCTTAAGAATCAATTAAAAGAGATCTTCTAATTCTAATTACAAATTCGTTAGGCCCTTCTATAAGACAACTTCCGTCTTGAAAGTCATTTGGCATTTTTATACCATATCAACGATTCCTCATAATTTTGAAAATTATAATCATAATTTATAATTTGATAAATAAAAAAATACTGATGTAACCTAATGTAACTAAGCGTCTTACTCAAAATCTTAAAAAGCACAGATGTTTGATATAATAAAAATAAAAAATAAAAAATAAAAATAAACCTCAAATTTTAGGCGTTTAAATATAATTAAACTTTTGTAAAATATATTTTAAATAAGTAGTCTCCTGTCTCCTTAACTCATATTTTATCTTGCAAATGTTGATGTTTCAATGAAGCTATTTTTGCTGTGTGTATTTGCCTAACAACCATTCATTAACATGTTTCAGAATGTGGAAAAGCATAAAATAGATAGCAGCATTACTATTAAACTAGTCTAGTGTCGGAGTTAAGCGGCTAGTAACATTTTTTGTATTTTTCTAAACACATTTAATGCTTCAGATTTTTTAATACGTGGTTTTTTTTTTTTTTTTAAAACAACACAATTCCAAATCAGCTTTAGCATTACCCAAAAATACTACTTTTATCATTTTTTATATTATATTTATACTACCTTTCTAATAAAGACGGATCTATATGTATTGATGAGTTATACATCTATTAAAGAGATGATACAATATGATATGAAAAATATGATAAGTATAATGTTACTCTGAGATTAATGAAAGGATAATACTTGCATCCCCTTGAAGGATGCACATATACATTTGTAAATCTTGAGCATATAAACTCAACGATCGAAATTATTCAATATCTTAATAATTATTTGAAGACCACTCATACAAAAAAAAAATCAAACCGAAAATCATTTAATTATCCAAACATATCAAATAAATAAACAATTGATTATGAATATATTACTTAGTATAATTTGTACTATATATTTTAATGACTAAATAATCTCCTAATCAATTTTTTTTTTATAACGGTGATCATTAAATGAAGTGAGATACTCAAGTCAAGTCTCATCTTAAAAGCAAAGCACATTCAGTCATCAAAGACAAAAGTCATCCTGTAACCCTAGCGACACGATAATAGAAAGGTGGAAAAGCGGAGCTGCTTTTTGAAGAAAAGCA